TTTCATTTTATAACCGGGTCTTAAACCAGTTTAACTTTAAATTTCTATTAGTTTATGTTTCATTTAATTAGCTATGTTTAGTTTCGTATTGAGAAAGTGCAGTGAATTTAATCAACTGCCCGTTCTAGCTCCAGTTTTTCCCCAGTGTAGCTCCACTCTCCTCAACAGCGAGAAGATGAAAACTGAGCTCTAAGTAGAAAGTTAATTAGGCTTAAATGTGCGAGAAGTCGACGATGACGACGGCATTGAGTAGGAAACACAACAAATACAACAAGAATAATAGCAACAATGGCCAGCGAGAAGATGAAGCAGAAAAGCCAATTAAAAATTCTTATGCTTTTGCTTTAATTTTTCCACCAGCTCGAAGCCAATGGCTAATAATAATTTCAGCCAAAAACGGCTCGGTACGACGGCATCTGCTTGTTAATTAATTTTTATGCATTTCTACAAATGTTCAATCCGAAAAAGTTTTCGATGCGGACTTGGCTTTTTGTTCGCGTGCAGCGAAGCGAGCCAATCAATGGCCGGCGAAACTTTCGTTTCGACTGAATTTCACTCTTGGCCCAAAGGCGCCCACAGAAAATCGCCCAGAAATCACTGCCGCCGCCGCCGCCGCCAACTTGGTTGACATTAATTGGACCCATTAAACGGTGTTCGCTAATAAGTTGGCATCAACTAAGTTTCGGAAGTGCCGCTCTAGCTCTTCCGGCCATTGTTGCTGTTGTTCTCGGCCTTGTCCGGCGGACATCTGCGCCGGAATCGGAACGATTAACACTCGGATTGTTTACGGCGAGTTGTGTGTGTACGTTTGCGGCCCTAACGACTTACCAATCTGTGGCCCAGGTCCACTTGTGTTCGGATTAACCACATCCGACAGATGTGATACCTTTGCAGCAGTGTAAGGATTTATGTAACCAAAAATTATGATGATTAAGATGATTTCATTCACAAATTTATAGTTGTTTTTAGATGCCAAGAAATAATTTTTAGGTGAAACATTACATAAAAAAATTGTCCTAAATATATTTTAAAGAATACATACATACATTTACATATTTTGCGAATGAAGAAAGAAAGTACATACTATATATAAAGTACATTAAATTAATTAATGGTTAAGGGCTTTTGAAATACTCTAAAATATGTAATTTTCAATTGCCTAATGCTTTTTGTTTATGGTTTCGGGTAACCCTAAATTGTAAGTTGTTTGAATAATAATAATAAGAGAGGGATTAAACAGGCAAAGCATTCAAAGTAATTATTACCTTTTTATTTTATCTTCTTTAACAAATGTTAATCATTCTTATTTTTAAATCCGATATTTTTCAAACCTATTTTTCGTAGCTTATATTCTTTATCTCCAGCTTATGTACATATTTCAATGTAAGATCTGGGCCACCCACTCCATATCCGTTACCATCTCGATGACTTCATCGAGAGGCCCATTCTCCGATCCAAGGCGACTGGCAGAGGAAGCATTAACGCGGCCTAAAGGTCGTGCCATCAACGCGGCCAACGGCAGCAACTAATTTGGGGCTTAACTCTAATCAAAGTTGAGCAGACTGCCCGACTGAAATCTCACGGATGCGTGCCTGCATGCGACTGTGTGTGTGTGTATCTGTGTTGGCCCAAATTGAATGAGTGGGTGGGGTGGGGGGAGGTACTATCGGAGTAATCCCACTGGGCAATGCAGCCACAAAAGGGATTCCCTTCCACAACTTTCTGCATGTGCCAGTCAATTTGCATTTTGAGGAGCTGCAACAGAGAAGCTGGCAACTGTTGCATAATTAAAATTGGAAAATTAATTTCATAATTTTCGCCAGCGCTTTCATTATTAACAGTTGTCCCAAAAACAATGGCTCCTGCTGACCAACATTTTCCGTTCTCTTAGTTGGCAGTTTCTCTGTTTTTCAGTTTTCAGTTCTCGGCTCTCGGTTTTCAGTTTCAGTTTTCAGTTCTGCCCGATTGTGGCATCTCGATTCGCTTTTGTTTCCAGGTTCCGAGCCTCGTCCGTCCGGGTTCCTGTTCTGGTCGTTTGGCTGGTTCCATTTATTATTTATGTGCATTTTGATGTGGAAAACATTCTTTTTCTGCATTTTGTTTGCTTTGTTATAGTTATTTTTCTGTGTGAGCGCAAATGTATATATATATATTTTTTATGTTGTTACATGGAGTTTTGCCAGTTGGAAATTTGTCGCCACCCGGAAAACTTTTTAGGGAGAGATATATGTATATATTTTGCGTATTGTCATTTGGATAACATTGTAATGCAGCTGGACAGCAAAGTTTTGCTGTCAGAGAACTAGACAAGCTGGAGAGCAATTACCTGTTCACACTCTCGGCCATGTGGGTTAATTAGCAGCATTTTTCGCTCGAATAAAGGAAAATCACTTGGCAACGCACTGGCAGATCTGCAACATTACTAGCCTCACAGAGTTTCCGCACTGTCTTGGCAACTATGTACTACGGTTCCGATTTAACCCGGGCTTGGAAACTACAGTTCCGATTTAACCCGGGCTTAATGAGGCCGCAGATGCAGAGTTGGCCAAAAGAAATCGCTGATGTAATGCCACGCACATTTGCCACAAGGCAATGCCCCTACCACACAGACTAACTGCCCATTGTGTGTAAATTTGTTACCATTTTTTTTTTGTTTTATTTTCTGCGTTACCTCGTATTGCACATAAAGGTAATTTCTAATTTGCTGGTGTTTTATTGTTTTTCTGCCGGTTCATTTTATGGCGCCGACTTATGCAACACCTTGAGAGGCAGCGACGCATGCGCTCGAATTACACACATGGACATGGATATGGATGTGGACTTGGACATGGACACTAAAACTAAAGCTAAACGCGTTTAGCTCGCAGGGCCGCTTCGATTCGATGGCAGTCGTAAGAGCATAACGGCGTTCATTAATCATGCGGGTCACGTCGCAGTGGAAAAAAGAACTGAAAATTTACACTAACACAAAATGTTTAAAGGCGAGAATGTGCTCCAGTGAACGGAGAACTAATTGTGAATAATTAATGAAGACTGGAAATTAAATATATCAGACTTTGAGAACAGACAAGATCTTATTTCTATGGAGTTCTATTTTTGGAAATTAAGTAGTTTCTTAATGACGTCTTAAATTAAAGAATATAGTTCTAAGAAAACTCACAGAATATTAATGCAAGATCAAGATTACCACATAGTAAATGTATTTTTTCGCTAGTCTTACAACAGAAAAGACACGTACTATATATGCCTGATTAAATTATTCTATTAGGCCATTCCATTTCATTTATTTCAACAAGCTATGATTATACTTTGTCATCATTCTTAATCTTCGAAATCTTTCTCTCAATAATAATAGCTTTCAACCTCTAAGTTCAAAACAATAATTGTGAAATAGAAGTATCTAATTATTATAGTTCATTAATGAAACTTTCTCCGACTTTAATGGAGGGTTTCTACATTTACTTCTATAAGTTTTAGCTTTGACTTCCCCGACTTTAGTTGTCTTGGGCCCTGAATTTTTGCCAAGTGCAGCGAAGGTTGGGGGAATCGAGTGTGGCAGCGAAAGAACAGTAGCATCGACAACTGTTGCCAATTAGCGGCAACATGCAAAGCGCATTTGCATTGAACCTGGAGCTCTCTATTCTGCCTTCAGGCGATGACACCGTTGCACTATGGGGTTTTTGACCACTTTATGTGGCATTTAGTCATTTTTTAAAAGTGCTCTAATTAAAAAAAAAAAAATGGGAATGCATTAACAGAACATCAAACTGTTATGCCTCATACTCAAAATGTTAATACTTAACAGCATATGTTAGCATAACAGCTGTAAAGTCAGCTGTTGCATGCGAAAGTACCAGCGCTAAGTTTGCAATTTTTTCAAGGCGTTCTTTGAAATTAATTTATTCGTGTAAAACACCATTTGAAAAGAAAAAAACAAATGTAAACTGATCTCACAGGCTTGTACTATATGTTAAATGTATTAATTGTTTAAATTATGCGTGTTTATACTAATATTTTGTCACTTTATAAATGCACCTTAAGCTGAATTTTGAGGAACAAATTTCAACTTTGGGAAGAGTTTTGAAATAGAAGTTTGCATTAGTTTTCAATGCGTCCAAGTGTATGTTGTAGCCTTGTCAATTCTGAGCAAAAATATGTTAGTCTTATTGTGCACTTTTCCGCACTATTGGTGCAATTTGAATTTTTCTTAGATAACCTCACTTTCTCCAACGCCGACTTGGTTGCTGTTTGGAATAGCGGGAAGGGCCGGCTTGAGCAAGAAAAGGCTATAAAATGTTTGATGAACAAATTATTTATAATATGAGGATCATTTTTAAATGTTTGTCCTGTCAGTTGCCCGTCAATTTGGACAAATTCGAATCATTTTGCCTACAAACTGGCGAATTGTTAGTCGATATGTACCGTGGCTGCCGATGAGTTTTGAGTTTGACGAAATTTTTTCTTTTTGCTTTTGTTGCACTTATTATCATCATCTTTTATAGGCATGGACCAACAAATTTCAGCTCTTTAAATTTCATTAATTTTTTTTTAGTTTTAACCGATCGTTCCTATGGGAGCTATAGGATATTGTTTCCTGATCCAATCGATTTTCACACTATATGTGCCTAGGGACAAATAATGACGATTGGTAAAGTTTCATGTCGATATCTCCAAAACTGACCGAGTTATTAATTAATGCCACAAAAACAGGTCAAAAACCCCATAGTGCGTTGGCAACAACTGAGCTGGAAAACGTAATCAGTTCGAGTCGCGGCACGAGATTAGCTGCAGGTAAGGTATAAAGTAACCTGCCAACCCATCCGCCCAGCTAATTGAGCTCTTGAGTTACAATATGCAGTAATAAATTCAGGATTTTTGCATACCTGCCTGCCTGGGCTTGGGCTTGGGAAACCCGGGAAACTCATATCGAACTACCTGACTGACTTAAAAGTCGCACGCACACGCACTGATTGCATCATTTGGCCTTAAACCAGCGACGAGAACGTTTCGATTTGCATAGCATCCCGGGCAAGGAGATACGAGAAGATACATTTAGGAAAATGTCAGACTATTCCAGCAGCGGCAACTCCCCGAAGGCTGAGAAATCCGTGAGCTATGCCCTTTATCTCCATCGGCGGGAGTTGGGGCGCCCCAAACGGCGGATGATGCGCATCTGCAGCACCAAGTTGCAGCTAACAAATGAGCTCATCCAGCTGCAACAGCGCCGCCAGTGGGAGACGGCCTTTGACCTCGAGTTCGACGCGGAGGCCAGTTCCCAGCAGATGAGTGCCCTGGATAGGGAACGGGAGTATCGCGACAGATTGCAAACCAATATGCAGCGGCAACTCGAGAAGCAGCAGAAACGCAAGCGAAAGTATCTCCAGGAAATCGGCAAGCTATAGGCAATACAGTATCAAGTACTATCAAGTCCAACGCGGAAGTCATTTATTTAATTGAGGACCATATTAGGTAATTTAAAGAACGTGATAGCTGTTATAGGCAAACTAGAAAACAAGAAATTTATTGTGATATGAAGAAGAACGTTTTAGTCAGACATAAAAATATTAATTAAAAAATTATATAGTTTTAGACGAGCACTAAAAGTGTGTAAAAACATATGAAATAATTTATTAGTCTACTATTAGAAGTCAACATTATTTTAAGCTTAATAAGGATTTTCTCAATAAAATATTATTTTACATAAAGAAAGGTTTCAATAGGTTTCAATTCTAGGCCAGGGACTTTAAGCTAGATTTTGCAAACCGAAATAAAGAACCATAAATCACCAAAAAACTGTGTCTCTGTGTGACTCCCACAACTCAAGAGATCGGGGCTGAGACAAGCAAGAGTGTTTGACTTTTGACACTCTTTTCCTAGGCGGTTAAGGTGGAAACGACTGTCAAGAGCGGGATAAAGTGCAATATGATGACTTAATACCGACTAAAATATACCCAGCAATATACATTCCATAAAAAAAATAGTTGGATTTCCGTGAAACACAACTATAAAAATAAGGCAATAAATGTAGTATTTATTATCCAGTTTGGTTCATTTCTGGCAGAAGGAAAGAAAACCTGAGAATTATTATTTTTTGAACATATTTCTCGGAAAACTGTTTTTTATGATGTTGTTAAGCTATAAGATATACCCCGATTTTCCCGGAATACCTCGTGGAAAAGAAAAGCGCCAAGAACAGGCTAGGAAATGCAACAGAGGCCGCTCAAAGGTGAGCGCGCGGCAACTTTTTTCAATTTCCTGCTGCCATTACGCAGAGCGTCGCAGCTGTTCGCCGTCCCTCTTGCACACAGTTTCCCGCCACCCTCTACCCTTCCTCCCACCCCTCTCAGAATTTTCCTGGCCATTGACGTTTTTCGCGCACGAAGGCTATGGTCTTTTTTCCCCTGTTCGCGGTTGTTGTCTTCGCTCTCGCTTCTCGCTTGATTTGTCACACAGTCCCAACGGGAAAATAAACCTGTCCCCGTGTACTCGCACTGTCTCTGGGACGCGGAAAACCGGTATGTGCGCTTTCTTTTTGCTCCCACTGTGGCCCGAGTGGGGAAATGCCGCGGGGGACGGGGTTGGGATGCATTGCGTTTCATCTTAGCCCTCGTATTTAGTTGCAATTCCTTTACACACACCCGTTCCTTACACCCACACAGAAAAAAAGCCAAATGGTTCAGTTCAAATCAAAACATAAACATAATTTAAAAATTCTTAATTTTTTTATATTATTCCCAAAACTTTATGTACCATTTAATAGTTATTAAAAGCCATACAAAAATGTGTAATGAACAATTTATAAAGAACGACCTTTGTTCAAATTTTAAAAATAATGTTAGAATAATTATTATTATTATTATTATTATTTTTATGCTATCAAAATACAAATTTAGTATTTGGGAAAAAAAATACAAAATGTTCAAGATTCAAAAAATTTATGATTGAATTTATTTATCTTAACTATAAATGTCCTTGTCCCTAGCAAGTTTTCCCCTTTTTTATTCAATTAAAGAATCTGTAAAAAAAATATAATTGTATCCAGGGAATTATATCTTTCTGTGTACTAACCCCAGTCCCCATCGCTTGTTTACTATTCTAAGTGCAGTATCTTGGCGAGTTTCGCTTAGTTTTTTACAGGCTTTTTCTTCGTTTTTTTTTGTTGGCATGTCGGTTATTTATGCGCCTTGTTGTCCCAATTCTTGAAAAATACTACAACAAGCCTCGTGACTACGTCTCTGTCTCTGTCCATGCACTTTAAGCTTTTTTGCAGCCAGCTATTTTTAATAAGCAATGCTGCAAAAACGCTACCCTTCTGGCTTTTTGTTTCACTTACCTCACTTTATCCATCGCCCATTAAACGCTGCACACTGCAAAAGAGGGAAAATAGGAGTTTTTATTATTTAAAGCAAAATCAATATGAGAAATTCCGCTGACAGCGACCAGCTCTCTACGTATGTGCATATAAAATTTTACAACAACCCAGGGGCGGGGACTGACATAAATTTAATACCTTTTCAAATTGTTTTTCATAACCCATTTTCCTATAAATGCTGCTGCACTCTGTTGGCCAGCAGATAAAGTGCATTTGTTTGCTTTTACTTTATTTTACGCTGCAGTAATTGTTGCAGCGGCAATGCCGAAAAAACAAATACGAACAATGCAAACTAACTCTGCTCTTCTGCTCGTTCTTTGCTGAATTTGAATTATTTTCGACTCATATCATTTGAGCAACTGCTGGTATACTGATGCAAAGGGCTTCACAAATAATCTGTTTTAATATTGAATTTAATACGAATTCTTATGTGGGTATTTAACTAATAAGGCTGATTTAAGCTCTTGCTGTTTGTTCCTGGCACTTTCCCTAATTCAGCATTATTGATTTGATAGCTTAGGTAATGAAAGTAAATGAGGGTATCCTTAATAATATCATCCTAGTGACTCCCAAGTATATTATGTGAAGATGGCTTGCTAAATCGTTAAGCGGCTTAAAATACAAAACTTAATACCTATTCTAATGTTGTGGACCTAACTAATTATGAGGCCAAGAGCTCTGTTTATTTGTATAGAACAAAAGCCTTTAGAATTATTCATCAGAGTAGCTTAAACGCAATTAATGCTCGAACGTTTTAATTTATTAATGTGTGAAAATATGTTTGCGTTTTTGCTCAGTTTGCAATCTAATTGCAAATTAATATGAGAAACAAATATTTATTTTCCATAAAAAGCAACTGGGACATGTAAAAAAGTTTAATAAAACATTAAATTTATTGCAGCAATATTAATTTATTTAAGCGGTAGCTCTATAAGTTAACTATACAAAGTAATTTCTTAGGAAACTATATTTGAAAAATTACTTACATCAGTAAAATCTTTAGTTAAAATTTAGAAATTACTTGTATATGTACTTTTTCCAAATGAATTTAGTTTAAGGCTGTATTCTGTCATTCTTTTTGTGGGAAAAAATCTGTTCACACCTTGTCAAATGTTATCATAAACCCCATACTGTCCCATCTCTACTAACTATTGTCTTTATGTTCATTCAGCCATTGGACAATGGGAAACTTTGGATTCCACCCTTTTTGAGTTCTTTCGATGATTTTTGCTGCTACTGCTGGTTTATTTGTTTTTCAGTTTTTTGCTTTTGTTTTGCACTTGGGCTTCTTCTTGTTGCATTGAATTCTGCGTGTCAGCAGCAGCTGTGTTGGCCACTAAACAACGACCAGTGTAACAACAACTGTAATAATAGCAACAATAATAGCAAACAAAACAAAAAACACACGCTGGCACAAACAAACAACATTGTACAAATAACAACACTTTTTATTGCTACCAAAAGGGAGATGGAGTAGTTGCCAAAGCAGAAGAAGCAGGCCAGCAAAGGGGGAAATTTCATTGAGGAAGGGGGGTGAGCCTGGAAAAGTGGGAGGCGGTGGAAAAGGGGGCGGTGTGAGAGCAGTAAACACAAATAAACAATTGCAATTGTGTGGCGATGGTTGTAATTCTGTGAGCTGCTAAATCGTCTGTAAATACTTTTGTACAAGTTAACAGTTATAAATGGGCTTTTTATGAGTTGTGTGGGACAATATTTGTGAGCACACTACACAACACTGGACACGGGTTGAATGTGGTTTTGGTTAGGAAAATGTGGAAGGAGGTGAATAAATGAGCCGAGTAGCCTTATCAAACACGTGAAAAAGATGACCGTTATGACCAAAAGATACCCGGTAGTGAGCTTTTTACAGCTATTTTTAACTGTCACTGTAAAGAAATAAAGGTAAGTAAAAAACTAAAGGTAACCCTATAATTATACCCATTAAAGAAGTTGTAATACCAAATTTGGAACCCCGTACTCATATAGATCTAAGCGATTTGCTCTGCAACCGTTCATAAATTACCCAATAAGGAAGTTTATCCGTAAGCCGTGGGTAAAAATTTAAGGCAGCTCTAAAAATAAAATGATTTCCATAATTATACGCTTTAAAAATGTTAGCATACCAAAGATTATCTTCTGAACTCTTAAAGAACCTGAGATCCAACTGCAGTAGTAAGCCTGTGTTTTAAAAGTTTATGGCTTATAATGCATGGGGAAACTTTGGTAAGATATGATATAATCACAAAAAAAAATTCGCATACTATCGAGGGTACCCCGAAGTCTTAAAGATCCCGAGATCCAGGTGCTTTATGAAGCAATTCAGTATATACATGCACTCTGTATATTACACGTAATTGGGGATTTGCTGCCCAATGATAATGGCATTGAGCTGTTTTTGCTACTGCCACTGCTGCACTGCCTTCGCTCCACATTTTTCATGTTGCAGGCATTCGGAATCGCTTAGAAAGTCACTTGAGGGATATGGCTGGCCATCGTGCGAGTGAAGCCAAACACTTTGCTTATGTCTGTTTGTCAGTCAAGTGAAATCGTATGCCGCCTTCTCCAGCTGCTCCATGTCCAACTTTGAGTCCGAGTTGAGGTCCGAGTCTGAGTCCGAATCGGAATACGAATACGAATACGTATCCAACTCGACGTCGATGTCTGTTCGGTGTCTGGCCAAGTGGCAAGTGCTTATTGTTACGATTTATGGCATACGCACAGCAGATGCACGGGGGAGAGTTGGTCCATCCGGGGGATTTCTATTGATTTTTTGTACCACTGGACTGGAGCTGCTGCTACTGCTACTGCGGTGTTTTCTATTTGCTGCTGTTGATTTGCCACACGTCCATAATAATGCTAAGAAATGGAAATCATAAAAGTCAACAATCATCCACGTTGGCCATGACCAGATTACTGCAGTCAGCGGTGGAAAATCGGAAAATCGGCAGGGGTACGGGTACAGAGTATGGCAAACAGTTAGTTGCAGTTGAATTTGCGCGGCATCATTAGGAAAATTTTTGCGCTTTCGTCAAAAGAAATCAGGCAGCAGCCCCATAATGATGTTGACGCTGCGTTTTGTGAAGGCTGGGTGAAAAGATGTATGTTTGGGGTCGCAATGCAGGTGCATGTTCAACGGCCACCTTTCGGTTGACACTTTCCGATTGCTCGACATCGATCATTCCGCCAACAGGGAGGCCAATCGAAACTGAAATTTATACAGCACTTGTGTGTCTGACAATTTTGTATTCCAGCGGTGAAAGTAAAAACTGCAAAGCCAAAACTAGGCAGGCGTAAAAATGCAGCGACAAAAACCCCGCCCTTTTAGCCCATTTACATGCCAGCAACAGCAAAAATCAAAGCTGCAACGAGAGTAATGCAAGATTAAATGCAAAAAAAATGGCATAAAACATTCGCAAAAAGCGAAGCTCTACATAAACAAAAGCCAAACAAAATATTTATTATTACACAGCAATGTATGCAGAAATACCCTAACCCAAAAATGTTTTCAACTGACATATGATGGGCTTTGTTTGCCATAAATGCCATGGGAACATGGGAATTAATTCTTTGCTCTATTATCTAGCAATTAAACCATAAATTCTGATTATCATTTTGACATGGCAACATGAAAATTTATGAACGTTGAAGGATCGAGGTCATTATAAACATTTTTGGGTGATGTACGAAATCTTTACAAATTAGTTCTGTATTTATTGTTCAATATTAATCTCATTTTGGTAAGCTGGCAATTAGTAGAAGGTGAAGTTAGTAGTCAACAGTTTTTTGTTTCAGCTCATTTGGAAGTAATTAAAATAAATGTAATTCTATGTTAACAAGAAGTTCTCCCTAATTCTCTTTTCAAACATATTTCGGATTTTTTACAGAGCATACAACTATGTGGTATTTAATTTTCTGCCCACGCCAACATTTTCAGTTCTTTTTTCTACAGCGAATTGTTGGCTTTTCAATTTGTTTTAAAATACAATAAAAGTGCATTTTGCATTTTGTCTGCCACGCATTGATTGAATGCGTCGCAGCTCGCTGACTTTTTGTGCCTTTTTCAAACCCCTCGACTCCGATTTCGCTTTGCGTATTGACATGAGCAATTTTAATTATATTTTACGTCAATTGTAAAAGGCTACGGGGAACAACAGAAGCAACAGGAATATTTTTGGTTTAATTAATTGAAAAATGTGTGGAAATTGTCGGGATGGAAGTGGAAATCGCTGTGGAAATGGGCACCGGAGAGGTTGATTTCGTGCATCGTTAAATGCTAAATCGAATGTGAAAGGGATAACGATCGGCGGAGATGAAGATGGGGATGGAGACAATCGCCGGTTTTCCCTTTTCCCACTTGGTTACAATATTTTTTTTTTCCTTTTGCAAAAGTTCATTAAGCCCATCGCAGTCACATTAATTGTTTTGCGCTTTCAACAACACGCCCATTTCTTCACAAAGGAGGGGATACCGGAGTCATTTAGCTGGGATTTCGCAAAAGATTGCCATGCAAATGAGCTGAGGCAACAACACTGATTACCGGCTGCCATTGTCTGGGTATTGTTGCAATGGAAAATTTATTGAACTTACATCATAACCGGCAATCGGGCAATCGGAATGTCTTATCCACTGACACTTTGGCCACTCTACCGTGACATTCTCGACTGGTACATAGAACAAGTTAATAAAACCCACTCGGACATGGTCGAAAAAGGGCGGACTGAATGTTCCTCGGCGGAGTCTTCATAAATTTGTACTTGAGCGGCCAAGTGTGACGAACGAGATTACTGAAATCTTCTGGAGCAGATCCATTTTTCATAGCACCGGACCAGCTCACTGAGTTGTCTCTCACAGATACAATTCTATCTGGTAGTTGTGTGCGACTCTGCATCCATGTGTTCGTGTGTATCTGAGTGAGTGCAACAAATTGCTTTTGCTTCAGCCAGTCGCTGTCATAATAGTTGTTGCCTCTGCCGCCATTGTACCTTTTTTTTTCTA